TTACACTCGGGGCCAGCTGGGCTGGGAGTTGAGCGCCCCTCCCGGGAGGCCCCTCATCTTGCAGGCGTGCGGGAGGAGAGTGTCGGGTGGGAGCTGAGACCAGCGTTCCTGCAGTCAGGTATCTGCCGTGTTCAGGCCCAGACGGAGCTGGGACGCCGCGCACCTGGCTTGGCCTTGCAGCTCTGCTGCCTCTGATAGGGCAGGCTCTGGGAGCAGACCGCTGAGAGTCCCAGAGATCCCTGGCACTGGGGGGCTCCTGCCTCTCACCAGGGGTGTGTGAGGAGGGAGGCACTGGCTGTCTCCCAGCACGCAGCCCCCACCTGAACCCCGCTCTGGTGGAGAGTGAGGTGAGGGTGGCAGGGGTCCCAGCCCTTGGCAGGAAACCCTCCCAACCACACGGCTGCTGGGCCTGCCCCCGCACGGCACCCAGGCACCCCCTCTGTAGGCAGATGGCTCATTTCTGCCCACTTTGGGCCCCTGGGGTGTTCCGGCAGCAGATGCCACGCTGACTGCAGCAGCCCCACGGCAGGGGGCTGGGGCCTGGTGGGAACACTGACGCCAGGAGCCGGATGCCAAGGTGACGGAGCTTATGCAACCGGCGCCCTGCCGGGCAGCGCGGCCCAGCGCGCTGATAACCACTCGTCATGCCGCGGCGCCCGGCCTCCTAATGAGCCTCCCGGCTGCTCCCGCGGTGGCTGCGCGGTTCCTCGTGCTTCGCTGGAGATGGAATCAGAGAAACAGGGACACTTCTGGAGCAGGGAGGCAAACGATTCTGGAAGCTGGACTTTCCAACATGCTGTCAGCTGTGCCCGGACTGCCCCTCCCCAACAGGAATGTCAGGACAGTGAGGTCTGGGCAAGACAGGCCGGGGGCAGCGCCTGTTCCTTTGCTGGCCACAGCCCGACCGAGGGCCTCCCGGACCTGTCTTTTCTCCTCTGCAGACAGCTTAGCGAGCCCGGCCTGAGGCTGCTGCCATGAGAATTAAGTAAGAAACCGAGGCATGAACGTTCTATAGACTCAGAAATACGCATGTAGCCCCCAGCACGACACGCTAATTCCTTCGGCGGAAGGTTCCGTGTGCAAGCCCAGTTCCTCTGGCCCGCTGGCGGGGATCATGGTCCAGGAACCGGGATGGTGACTGCGCCTGCAGGTTCGGGTGTGAGCAAACATCTCTGGCTCTCTGCAACCCCGTCAGCCCCCCGAGCTCCCTGCACTCCTGGTGCGTTGCGCTGGTAAATGGCAGCGTGCCCTGGGTGATGCAGGCCGCCAGCTGCGCTCCATGGGCCGGGGGCCAGGGCTCAAGTGGGACTCTCGCGCCTGGGCTCAGGGCAGACAGGGCTCTCCCGCGGGTGAGCGAGGCGCCAGCATGGGCCTGCGCCCGGTAGAAGGGAGACCTGCGGCCGGCCAGGGCGACGAGGAGACTCCAGCGCACACAGGGCTGTGGGCGTGGCACAACCGGTGGCGCCTGGTGCTGCTGCTTCAGAGACCAGCAGGGCGTAGTCAGGGTTGTGACCACGGGTGCCCAGGCGCGAGGCTTTGATGAGCCGCATCTTGTCCCGAACCCAGGGTGTTGGCTGCTCCTGGCACAGGTCGGGCTCGTGTAGCTCGAGGTTGGGGACGAGAGCTCACTTCTCGCTGCCTCCCGGGCCTTGCCTGCCTGCGTCAGCCCCAAAACGGAGCCTTCTAGCAGATGAGGAGGGGAGGGGGGGTGTCCCTTTTTTGTTACAGTTCATTAAATCCGGACACAGGGATGTTCCTGGCATCAAGAAGCTGAGCGATTTGCAACAACGGATGACAAGCGAATGTGAGTCGATTTTTGATGACATTCTGGTAAAATTGTGTCCAGACGCCTGGAATTGGGCAGTCTGACTCTCTGGGGCCTCCTTCTTAGGGAGAGGGCATGGGGGACTCTGGTGTTTGCCAGAAATTCTGTTCTTAAAACAGCGCCTGTTCCACTGGGGAAGGTCGTGCTGTGCAGCCCGTCCGGATGCCGCGCCCACAGCTGCCGGAAGCTGCGCAGGTCCTCCCTGCTGGTCCCCCCGCGGGTGCACTGACTGGGTGTGAGTCCCAGGCGCATGTAGAGCTGCAAGGCACATCTCCCATCCCCTGGAGACCCAGCTCAAAGACCACCCTCTCCAAGAAATTATCCTCAAAACCTCTTGGCTTCCCCAGTCCCTGCCAGAAATGGCCCATCCTTTCTCCAGCCCCTAGGCCTCCTCCTGCTGGCCTCTCGGGTGTGTCAGCCTTGCCCTAGGACCCTGTTCCACCCACTCTGTGCTGACAGCAGGAGTCCTTTGGGATGGGACAGGTGTCTCAAGACCACAAGCATCAAACAGGAGTCACAAAGATCCCAGCAGGTCCACGGGCAAAGCTTCCTGGTGGTTTTCAACCGAATTCCAGAAGAGACACGACAGATGGCCTGTGAACATCTGAACCAGAAAACGGTGGTCCTGGGACCACTATTCTTGGATTAACCAAGAATCAAGCCTGTTTTCTGCTGTGATGGGATTGCTAAACTGGTAGCCAGTGGGCAGGAAACACAGGTCATCTCTGGCTTTCAGTGCAGTATTGGATCGACAGGGTCCCTTGGGCAGTGTGGGAACAAGAGGAAACCATAAGTCCTTTCAATAAAATCACGCAGGAAGTGGACCCTGGACAGAGGTCCCGCCAGCAGGCCCTCCCTGCCCTACTCAGCCCCACGGTTTCCTCAGTCAGTTGGGGAAAGACGGAAGATGGGTTTCCCAGCCTGACAACACCCAGAGCTAGAGGACAGTCTCCGTTCATGGATGACCTGTCAAGTGTATGCACGGGTGACACGGAGTCGTGGGCTTAGCCGGTGCTCACTCTGTGTTGATTACACTGGCGTCTGCGTCTTGGTGGAGTAAGGCGAGTGACACCCTGTCATTGAACAGGGGGACAGCAAGGTCAATGCTGAAAGGAACGTTCCTGCTCCTCTCAGCTGAAGTCTCATTTCTAGGTGACCAGGGGTGATGTTCCCACAGAAGCTGCCCACCCACAGACCACCCTGCTCTCAGGGACTGAGTCACATCCTACTTAGTAGCGTGGGGATGGTTTTGCTTTGCAGTTAAGTAATCTTTAATAAGGTCATTACAAATGAAAAATAAGAAAAAAGCAAATGAGGTAACCACAGGGCAGCCTTGTTGCCAGGGCGATCCTGGCCAGAGATGATGGCAACCCCTCCAGGTCTGACCGCAACACCGACTAGGCCCCTGCAGCTTCCAGAGGGTCTCTGGTCTACACTGCTCCAGACTCTGGTCATCTCTCCTTGCCAAAGTAGGGGTTTGTCTGCTTCCTGCCACAGAGGCTGCCCGGTCCTGAGAGTCCTCTTGCGGAGTCTGAGGAGAGGTGGGGACCTCAGGGAGTGGATTCTGGGGCTATGGTTATGCTCAGGGACCTGGACATTAGAGAAGGGGGTGGATCCACAAAGGCAGGTTCCAGGCCTTGGAGAGGGTCCTGGGCCCCATCTGCATAATGGGCCCTTTATTTTTTATTTATTTGTTTATTTTTTTAGAGACAGGGTCTCACCCTGTCACCCAGGCTGGGGTGCAGTGGTATGATCATAGCTCACCGCAACCTCCAATTCCTGGGCTCAAGTGATCCTCCTGCCTCAGCCTCCCAAGTAACTGGAACTACAGGCATGTGTCACTGCATCTGACAATGGGCCCTTTATAGTGACAAATTGACAGTGACAAATCATACCCACTCTCTTGTCTCATCCTCACAGTGTCTCCAGGGTGTAGACAGCGTTGGCTCCACTCCAGGGAGCAGGAAACTGAGGGCCAGGGCAGTGAGGTGGCTTCCCAAGGGCACGTCCAGGAGATGGGGCGTGGTTAGGGCTGATCCAGGCCTTCGCCTTCCTTCCCTGCTACTTCCACTGTGCCGACGTCCTGTGGACTCCGCTCTGTGGCTGGGAACCTTCCACGGTGCACACCAAGAAAACTGAAGACAAAGACTTCCCCCTCTAGAGCAGGTGTCTGCCTTCCCCTGCTAATCCATCTGCCCTGGACCCCGCCATAGGGGCCGCCCCCTATGCCCAGCACCGGCACCACCCCGCTGCCTCCGCTGTGCTTGCCCTCCCTTTCTCACAATTCGCAATGTTCTGGAACTTTCTCCATTGCTACTTCAACTGACTGCTCACCAAAGCTCGTTTCTCCTGCTTCCTAGTTCTTGATCTGGACGTCATAAGGCTGTGGAAAGACCCATAGGATGAAGGCCAGGAAAGCTGAGTTCTGGAACTTTCCATCAACCAAAAGCATAATCTTTAACAATAAAAAGACTTACAGGTTTGAGGATGGTTTTACAAAAAGCTGCAGGGCTCTGAAGCAGAACGTAGACTTGCAAAGCCCACATGAGTCTGCAACTGGATGTGCCGTGCTGTCTGCGTCACATTGCTCCTCTAACTCTTCACCTTCCCACCAAAGATTGATAGGGGGCTGTGCTGAAGGTTGAGCAAGCTAATGCAGTGCTTCACACAGTGCTTGCTTTGTGTCACGTGCATTGTCAATATGGGCACCCTCATGACAGGCAGTCAGGACCCATAACTTTCTTTCTTCCATCCATTCCTCCACCCAACCACCCAACAATTCCTCCATCCACCCAACAATTCCTCCATCCACCCAACAATTCCTCCATCCATTCATCCATCCATTCATCTATCCATCCATCCACCCAACCACCCAACAATCCCTCCATCCACCCAACCATCCATCCATCACTCACCCATCCACCCAACCATCCATTCATCCATTCACCTATCTACCCATCCACTTACCCATCCATCCATCCATCCATCCACTCACCCATCCATCCATCCATCCATCCACTCACCCATCCACCCAACCATCCATCCATCCGCTCACCCATCCACCCAACCATCCATCCATCCACTCACCCATCCACCCAACCATCCATCCACTCACCCATCCACCCAACCATCCATCCATCCACTCACCCATCCACCCAACAATCCCTCCATCCACCCAACCATCCATCCATCACTCACCCATCCACCCAACCATCCATCCATCCACTCACCCATCCACCCAACCATCCATCCATCCATTCACCTATCTACCCATCCACTTACCCATCCATCCATCCATCCATCCACTCACCCATCCACCCAACCATCCATCCATCCACTCACCCATCCACCCAACAATCCATCCACTCACCCATCCACCCAACCATCCATCCATCCACTCACCCATCCATCCATCCATTCACCTATCTACCCATCCACTTACCAATCCATCCATTCATTCATCCACTCAACCATCCATCCATCCATTCACTTATCTACCCATCCACTTACCCATCCATCCATCCATCCATTCACCCATCCGCCCATCCATTCTCCTATCCATTCTCTCATCCATATTTCCTTCTATCCATGCAATCCTTAGCCCTAGATGATGTCACAGCTCTGGGCTTCTGTAGTCTGTGTTCAGGGCTCTCACAACTCCTCACAGCTGCCTCTCAAATTCGACTTCTTCCTCCAAAACTGGGACGCTCTCTATGAGAGGGCCATGAGAAGGCCTTCTCCACTGTTCTTTGGCAAAAGATGTACTTGGAGAGCTTCATGGTGTGCTTCAGACTACAGTTTGTTCCTCCCTCCTCCTCCCAGACCCTCTCACCTTACACACTCACATTCTTGAGCATCTTGCATTATGGGGCCAAGAAGTAGAAACAGAGTGGTTATCCTTTTTCACTTTGGTTCCTGAGAAACAACTGAACAAAGAAAACCCATTGCCACTTGGCCCCTGTCACAGCTGCAAAAGCCCCGGAGGTCTGGAGTGCCAGGTCTTGGACTTGCTCACCTGACACCAGCTGCTATTAAGGAGGACAAGTTTAAGTTGAGAATTGCACAAAACAACCCAAGATGAGAGTGTTTCTTTTATTTTTCTTTTTCTCTTTGTTAGTGATACTCAAGACTGAAGTTCTTTTCGATATGTCAGGCTTTTCAAAAAATGATTAAAATGCACCAGATTATTAAATAGAGCTGCTCAGACTTAATTTAGCAAACTGTAACATTTTTATCATTTTTATAAAGCCCTTTTTAATGAAAACCATCTACGAGGAGACCAAATATCAAGGCTGAAATCATGTTTCTTCTGTATTTGTTATCCCTGAAGATGTTGTTCCCAGATTTTACAGAAATAATAAATTTCATTTAGGAGTTCGGGCCTCTGCAGCAGCGCCACACATCTCTGAATTTTCCAATTTGCAGTGCAAGAAGCTAATCCCACTGTAATTTCTCATACTTGCCAACTCCCAACCACAATTTCATACTTTCCTCTTCTCTTGGTAAATGTAGTACTTGCAGCAACATTCGACCCAATATGTTTATTTTACATGAGCCCGAAAATGTTGTTCTAATCAGCATAAACATATTTTCTCAGTGACAAAATGTTTTCGTCCTGTTGCCCCTGATTTCACAGGTCACTGCTTGTTGCTGTTTCCCACGAGCTGTCTCCCCAACCCACCAGGCCCTGGACAGGAGGCGTCCCAGCCAGATTTGCACCGCACAGTGTGTAGCCTGCTCGAGACTTGTGTGTGCCCGTCAGGCTTCCAAGCCTATCCTGGACAGCCCTCCGGTGACAACTCGTTAGCAGAGGTGAGACTTCTATCCTCAGAACTTACAGCTGCCATAAATCTACCTTGAAAGTGATTTCTCAGGCCCAAGGCCTGTGACCTGTCTTGGTGGCAGCCCGATGGCCTTGCTCCATGTTGAAAGCAGAGGTGGCTGTAGCTCGGGAGCCCTATGAGGTGGGCCAGACCCTGAGGTCACGACAGGCTCAGGTCCAGTTGGAATGAAGCCCGGGAGCTAAAGTACGGGGGAGTGGGGGGGAGGCTCTCACCCGGTTTGGCCCCTCTGGCTTCCGAAGTCTGGCTACAGATGTCAGGTGGGGTCACCAGGGCAGGTGGTTCCTCCCTGGCTCCTTCTGGAGGGCATCATGTGAGCTCAGGGATCTCTGGAGACCAGAAGAGGATTTGGTGAGGTTAGTGGAGCCCCCAGCATAGAAAGGTGCCCGTCCATCTGATCTGCCACAGAAAACACCCCATCACTAGTCAGAGTCTGTGGGACAGTCCCTTCTGTTCGGCAATCTGGCTTCAACTGGAGTCTGAGGGAAACTTCCAGTCCCTCCTCTCTGGGAGTGGAATGGGAGGGAAAGTGTGGCCAGGCCGCTCTCTGCTGTGAGTCAGCCCCGCTGCCGCCTCTCCCGGGATGACTCTGCATCTCCCGCGGTATGCTCAGCTCGCAGCGCTGTAGGTGCCGTTGCTCCCGGTTCACGCTGAGTGCCAAGTTTTCATCGAGGGCTGGGGCGGGGTGACCAACCAGCGTGGACCGAGGAGTTCCCTGGGATGCAGGACTTTCAGAGTTAAAACCAGGAAAGTTCCGGGCAAACCAGGGAGGCAGGCAGTGTTTACGCCCCCTCCCTTGGTGAAAAGTCACTTTCTCTTAGAGGTCCGAGTTGAATGTCTCTCCTCCGCCATGTTGCCGTAGCATGGGCTCCAGAGCACTTCCTGTGTCACATCGTAAGTGTGCCCTCCTCCCTGGCTGCTTCCAAGCGTCAGGGAATGTCCTCCCCACCGGAGTTGGGCAGGCCAGCATGTTACTGCTCTCGGGCACACTCAGTCCTCAACGCCAAGGGCCTAGAGCCCAGGGACTGGATCGCGTGGGCGAACGGCCTTCCCACGAGGCAGTCCTCCCATCCCACACGGGAACAGACAGCCAGAGGGGACGAGACTTGCCCAGGACCACTCAGTGAGCTGGTGCCACACTGAGGCCGAGACAGACCCGGTCTCTGACCTCACCGCCCAGGGCTTTCTCCACCCTCCCCAAAGCAGGGCCCCCACACACCTCCCGCGCTCTGGGAGCCAGGCTGACTTTCAGTTCAGCCGAGGTCGCCGAGAGCTCCATGCGGCTTCTGCAGCCAGCCCCCCGCTCCCATCGATGCAAATGCCCCCGACCGGCGCAGCCGCCAAACTAGCAATCTTCCGAACCCGTGCTGCGAAGAACAAAGGTCCAATTCAGCCTCCCGGGTGGGAAAGGGATCTCATTAAGGCCCTGGCAGCCAATGTGGGGGCCGAGGTATTGTTTTTAATGGAAAAACAAGAATCCGCTGTTATGTGTTAGATTAAAGGCTTTATCCAGGGGAATTAATCGGATTGCTACCGGCCTTCAGTCGCGTAGCCTTTGACTTCCCATCCTCAGAGAAGTCACGGACCAGGGCCGCGAAATTGGTTCATTTCTCTTTCTGGTATTTAATGAAGCCCCAGATAGCTTTCGCACGGCGGGCGCCTCCTCCCCAGGGCGCCTGTGAATTACCTCTCACCTGCGCTGACGCTGACGACAATCTCGGAGCCAGTGCCAGCCGCCCCTCCTCCCGCTAATCCACCCAGCCCAGACCGCGGATCCGCCACCCAGAAACGCAGCTCTGGTCACGCACTGCCACTGCTCGCCAGCCTCCTGGGTCTGCCCCCTGCCTCCAGAATAATGCGCAGACTCTCCGTCCCCTGAGCTCCAGCTTCAACAAACTTTAACTTTTTATTGGAGCATAATACACAGGCAGAACAGTCCGTGCATCGCAGGGATACATACTGAATTTTCCCGCAGCGCGCCGGGCCCTGCTTTGGTCAGCCTCCGGAACAAGACTCGGAGCTCACCAGTGCCCGAGAAACCTCCCGCCACCTCCCTCCTTCTGGTCGGCAGTCTCCCCCTCAGGGGTGACAATTACTCTGATTTCTACACCATTTTAAAAACTGCTTTTGCGTTTTTATACACAAAATTGTACAGCGTGTTGTGTACTTTTTTTGGTATCCAGTTCAACAGGCTTTAAAACATTATCTCTCACTTCTAGCTCTGCATATCCCACACAACCAGGAAACAGGCCTCCCAGACAGGACCACCGTCCCCTAGGTGTCGTCGGCACCTCAAATCCTTGGCAATCAGATCAGAGGCCCCCTCCTCCAGGAAGCCCCTCCAGATTCCCCTGTGTCCTGAGAGCTGCCTCATGGGTAGACGCTTTTCCCGTCCCGGAGCCAGGTGTGAACCTCTGGTTAGACAGGGAGCTGCTCAGGGCTGGGGACTCCTGGGGGTACCTGTCTGAGGACCTGCCACGCGGGGAGGCTTGGGACGCGGAGGTGCTTGCCTCTCAGTTGCCGAGTCCCGTTTCTTCCATATTTTGGTGTATCCTGTCTCGAGGCACAAACTGGTTGCCATCACCTTCATGGATTTCAGGCAGTGATATAGTCTCCTGGGAAAGAAAGGAAGGAACAGAGAGAAAAGGGAGGGAGGCAGAGGAGAGTAATGAAATTTTTTGAGCACCTACTGTGTGCAAACCCCTGTGGTCACTTTGCTGCATTGTCTGGCTCAATCATCTCAACAACCTTGTTAGGTGAGTTCAATTGCCCTACATGCTGTGTGGCCCAGCGTAGGTTACTTGACATCTCTGAGCCTCTGTTTTCTCCTTGGTAGAGTGGGGATCATGGAACCTGTCTTGCAGGGCTGTTGTGTAGCTTGGAGCTCGGGGCACAAAAGCACCCGCTAGGTCCCAGCTGTGACCATAACCTCGATGTCCTGTCTGCGTCTCACCTCTGGAAGAAGGAAAGTCAGGAAAGCTCTTTCCATCCCTGGAAGAAGCTCGGGAAGTGGCTAGAAAGGCTCTTGCAGCCCCGACAGCCTCCCAGGTTTCCTCGAGGGAATCTCGGAACCTCTCACCTCGCAGACCCAGCCGAACATGCCTGGAAGCCCCTCATCCATTCCCTTCAAACCTTGTCCGAGATGAGGGTCCTGTCCTGGGGGGAGGACAGTGCCATGGCGGCTCTGGACATGCCAGCACCCCTGCCCCAGAGGTGAGGAGGGGACACGCTAGAAGTGCCAGGAAGGTGCCCAGAGCTTTAAAAGGACACTGGGCACAGACACCAGAGTGCGGCTGCTACTCAGGTGCAGGGAAGCCGGGGGGGACGGGGGGGGGCTCCGGTGCACAGTTCCTAAGGAAACTTCTCTTCCTCACCTTCCCCGCCACACCCAGACACCCCAGAGTTCCACCTTCCCCTTGCCAAAAATCTATGAGAGTTAGTTTCTTATTTCATATCAAACAACTGTCCTAAATGGACAAAAGATGTTATAAATTACAAATAACCAGAGCATTAGAAGAGAAGAAAAATGCTGGACTCCGGGATGGCGGAAGCTTCCCAAGCAAGATGCAAAACCCAGAAGCCATAAAGGAAAATAATAACCGACGGAAAATCGTGAGACCTCTGAGTGCTGATACCCCTCGCCCCCCCAACGCGGACTAAAAATAAAAACTAAGTGACAGACCGGAGGAAATATTTGCA